GTCGAGCTACTTGGCCCGTTTGCCACCACGATAGGAGAGGAGAGATTATAACTGGTTAGTTCATAATCAGATTTTGGGCATTTTTGATAATTGAACCAAGTCGATTTCTATTGAAAATTATGAAAATAAAGTCACCGATTCTATGAAGAAAAAGATCCGATCCGATTCTTTTGTGCTTTATAAATAAATTGTAACATGTAAAATGTTGGATAAACTTTTTTTACTTCACTTTCATTCTTTCGATTATTTTGAATGCATATTGATTATGTAAATAATGTACAAGTTATGATTCAATAAAGAAGTCAATAAAAAATATTTTTGAAACCATGTTAAAATATGATTATGTAGCTAAAATCGACAACCGGATAAAAAAAAATTTTGATTCTTCTGCCATTGATTGGATTGGAGGCCACTATAGAGTGCTAACACCAGAAAATGAAATAGTCAAGAATCCCGAGTGATTGTCCTAGCTGCCGCAAAAGTAGTCGAGAGTGTGAATATTCTTTTGAACTATTTTCACGAAGTTTGTTGCTATATTGTATCCCAGGAAAATACCGAAACTGTAAACTCAATTGGAGTCGAACCCCCACAAAATCTGGTGAAATTCGATGAATGAAACTATTTTCATAAATACTACAGAAAACATACTAGCAATTCTAAGTAGATATGGAGAATGTAATAAATTAACACTTGATAGGATCCAAGTTACATCCAAAGATTCTGAAAGTAAAGAAACTGATTCAGTAACCTCACCCCGTCCTGGCCCCGACCTCCCTGAGAAAAAAATAAAAAGCGTCCTGGACGAAAGAAACCAAGAAGGAGAAGAAAGATTTCATACTGATACAGACTCTGATAGAGAGAATCAACGTTCTGTTGCCCAACCCCAGGCACAGAAAATTAGCTGCTAATGATACTTTATATAACTTCTCCGAAAGAGTAATTGTCAAATCCAAAGTCACCATCTGACATGGTTCCATCTTGTTCCTACATAAGAACAGAAATGCAATCCTTGTCATAAAGGTAAAAGGGCAGAGACAAATGTTATAAACCCACGAAAATGCGTACAATTCAGGGTATCTTACGTGAAACACTAACAAATTGAAGATTAGATCTTTCATTGACACGATTCCAATTCAGTTTTTCTTTTCCTTCTAGTTTACAGGGTTGTAACTCGAGGAATAAGCCTTGACAAAAAGCAGACAATGCATAAGCTTTGAGTCTCCTACTGAACACCTAGCACTAGGCAAATCTCAAGGCATGCACCTCATGACCTTCTCACAAGACTTTCTCATTTCTCTTTAGACTAACCTCAACAATAAGTTTGTGGTTTCTGAACTGAGATTATGAACAAGCCAAATGCATGAATGCAACTCCAGTTTGAGTAATTTTCTTATGACTGTACTTCTCTATGCACTTTGGTCAAGGGGTATCTCTGCAAGAGATATTGAGCAACAACACAAGCTAGTTTAAAAGTTCAAAATCAGGTGTGGTAATTACTTCTGCATAAAAGGGCTGTTGGTTCTAGTCAAGGTT